TGGACCACTGGGTTGTTCTCCGGCTTGTCCATGGCAACCACACAAAGAATTCGTTGATCCTGCGGGTTGACTAGCATGAACCATCCATGCCCAAAGGGTTTCAAAGAACCGTCTTTCCGAGGTCGTCCTGCATGTGTGGTAGTTTCGCCACATTTGATGTGGACCTTCGAGTGACCATCTCCGACAAGTTCAGTCACTGATGCCCTCTTTTTGGGTGGGAAAGCAACCTTGTGCACATAGTCATCATACTTGCGGAGCGCAGCCTCTGAGATTTCATCTCCAATGACAATGTCTTTCTCGCACCCAATCAATGAGAGCTCCTGCAAAGCCAGCCAGTACATGACACAGTCTGCGTGCATTGCACGGAAGCGAACTTCACTGTGCTCATGGTCAAAAACTGATTTGTAAGCAGCCTCTATGGCTCGAGCGGCCAAGAAGCCTCGAAATTCCAAGGCTGAATGATATTTCAAATAATCCAAGGAGAAGCCAAGCTTGTTGTTCACAAACAGAACATCCGAGACATTCTCCAAAGTGGCTGTGTTGATCTTCTTTCCATCATCCAGCAGGAAGTTAGGTCCAAAAGTTGTGCGGCACCCATAGGCATTGCAACGCATGGTGCGTACAGTCGTTTCACATGGACCTGCCAAGGTGTACACCACAGCTGCCACATCATGCCCTTTGGAAAAGGAACGGTGTCCACAAGGGCATTTGGTGAGTTGGGTCGAATACACTTTCCGAGCTAAGGCTCCTCCAGAAATGGAATACGGCACCTGAAGCAAAGTTGAAGAGGAAGGGATGCCCAGGACAACCTTGAAGAAATAGTACCGTGGATTCAACATCATAGAGGATAGCATGCCGATGGATACTTCAACCTTGTCGTCACCATCCATTTTAATCGCAAAACCTTCTATGTGCTGCAAAGCAAAGAAATGTGAAGCCTGAATGTCAAGAACAACATATTTGCCTTGCGTCAGCGACATGTTTCGGGGGATGATCTGAAGGCTGGCACCGAGTGGACGAAGCATGACACACCCATCAAGAGCTGTAAAAGGACCATCTCGAGGACAAGCAACAGGACACCCAAGGTTCTGCAAGGCCACAACAAGACAAGCATTCTCAAAGCCATCTAAAGATCCATGACCACCCTCAAACTCCAGTGCGTTCTGCAATTCATCATCAAGCTCATCTAGTCCATCTGATTCTCCAATACCAGGGAAATCCGGATTCTGTGGCGGGTCAGCTGGCATGGCTGATGAACTAAGACTGGAATTGTTGACGCGAGACCTTTTGGCAGGCGATGGAGAAGGCGTATCCAGCTCGATGGTGTCAATGCGCTGGCTTTTGAGCTCCTTGAATTTGGAATCCACTTTTTCCTGCTTGATCTTCATGCTCATCTCATCCGGAGGCAGCAAACGCGGTGCTTGTTGGGTCTCAACTAGCTCACCACCAAACAATCCACGACCGCGAATGGTGATGGTGCGTGGGACCTGTTCTCCGCGAAGCAAGCGGGCAAGAAGTTCTTGGGACCAAATTGAATCAGCATGAAAAGACTCTGGGAGTTCATGGGCCTGCGGATTGCGTTTGTATGCCCTAAAGATTGGCCGTTCAGCTTCTGCAAGCAAATCTTTCGCCTCAGGGTTAGGCCATGGGATGAAAGGCACGCTTGTCGCACCTGTGCTAGCAAGGCGCCAATACACACCGTGATCGGTCAAGACTATAAGGTGCGTTCTGGCTAGGATAGCGGCCAAATCTGCCTTGTCCTCAACGCCAGCAAAAGAAGGAGCGACAAGGTCGAGGAAGTCTTTGTGCTCTATCTTCTGCTTTCCTGAGGCTTGCATGCCCTTCACCAAGTCTTCTTCAATCTGCATGTTGTACGGATTGTTGCAAGCATGCCGACCGGCTCCTTGGTCAAATTGCGCAGATGAATATCTGGCCCAGACGGTAGCATCCTCTTCCTGAGGCAAAGATGTAAATCTGCATCTAGAAACATCAATATATTGATAAAACTTTCGAAAACTATGTATTTGTTTGTACAGATACAGTTACCCCAAGTGTAATTATATTTTGAATTATTTTGACATAGAGATACACAAGTGAAACGTAAAAAGATAACCACAAACATATCTCTGTCGGCGAGGAGCAGACGGGTTGAGGAACGCTTTGAGGAATGAGGCATCCATTTTCTGAAGCAGACCATCATCAAAGACGCCCGGCTTGAATTTGGTGATCGGCTCCGCTTTGAAGAAGTCCAAATGCTTCGCTGTGACGATGCCCGGGACAAGATCTGTGCGTCCAGCTTGCTCAATTTCAAACCTCGACTGAGCAAAGAGGACTGTCTTGGAGCCCAAAGATTTGCCAACCCTTGTGCGGCCAATCCATGTGATAGAATGCTGCCGCATGCTTGGCAACATGTGCACGAGGATGTCGTCAAGGAACCAAGGAACAAAGCTCTTCAAAGTAAAAGGCCAATACTCAATGGTTTTGGCATTTTGTCTACCTTTGTAGTAGTTCAGCAAAGCCGTGGTAACCTTCCCCTCATTCCAACCTTCAAGAGGACCCCCGGGTTGATGTACTTGTTCATCGGTCCATTCCATAAATTGGTTCCGGTTGTTGGAGCGTGGTCCATGATCACGAATGAAGCGATAGCCATTCTCACGGGCTTGCTGATCAATGGTCATCTTCTTCTCGAACTTTGGTTTGATGATCCAAAGGCGCAATTGCATCCCACCCATGCGATCAAGCATATAATTGAAAGCAGACAGGCCTAAACGCACCTGCTGGCCCCAATCGAAACGGAAAGGATGACCATGACAAGAATTCCTGCAATCCTTGGAGAAGACTTTATTCTTATGCAAGTAGATGTGCTTGAAGATGTCCACAAACTTCTCATCAGGATTAGGAGGATCAGCGGCTGGCAAGATGACTATCTGCATGCTATAGGGGACTTTCGGCTCTTCTTTCATGTTGAACGGAGGTGGAAGTTCACTGTACTTCTCCTGCGCACACAGTCGGTAGAGAGTGTTGTCCAAAAAGTCCTGCGTCACATTGAGCTTCAAAATGACAATCACATCAGCATACTGTTCGACTTTGTGGCCCATACTGTCCATGTTGCGAAGAGGCAAGTCACCGATCGTCACATCGCCCACAGGACGATCAGACTTCAAAGGCCTGCGTTCGGGACCAATAAGCTTTTGGCCATTGACTTGGACTACTGCTTCGGCAAATGTGAGTTTCCCGTCTTGGTCTCCAAGGTCTCTGTTGAAACCATCCCCTGCACCAAGCTGAAGTGCCATGGTAGGTGACAATGAGCACAAAGAAGACGTCAGGAAGCGGATGAGAGCAAATCAGATTTGAGAGCAAAATCTAGCAGTGGAAGAATCAAATGACATGGAAGTGACATCAACTACTGCAGGGACATGCATGAAAAATACCTTCAATGACAGAAGCCAGCAAATGAAGATCTTTTGTGAAACATTGCTCAGAAGTTGCATATTCAATTCTGACGTTCCAAGGAGATGAGATGTAGAGGTTCAGAATGCAGCAGATAAGAGGATGACCTGTCAGGAGTTCCAGATGCGTTGATAAGTGCATTTCTCCCAAGGAGAAAACAACACTCAAGAAAATAGAGAAGTCTGC